TCCGGCAACCTTAAATCTGCCTATAACATTATTCACTACTCCTATGTACCCTTAAAATTGAAATTAGTAAAATGAAGGAGAAGGAAATCCAAATTAATAGCAAATTATCACCCTACTCTTCAATTTTGTCAATGTCTATATTATTCCATGCCCCAAACTCCTTGCAAAATTAGAATTAGTTTCAAAATACAATTTCATATGGAGAAAATAATGTTTTAAGGGTAAAGTCAAAATCAATGAATTATCTCGATAATTAAATTAAGGATATTATTTCAATTTTACTAAATACTATATAAACCAAAATAAACGATACTGTATCCATTTCTTCTGAATAGAAAAGGTTAAAATTTAATGAAAATGATAGTGCTGTAAAAGTAACTAGAAAGTACCTATCTTAATTTTGCAAAAAAATAAATGTATATAGATACAATGTTTGAAATGTAATGGCAAAAGTTACAAATTACTTTGCAAGTTACCTTTCAAAATATATTTCCTATTTATATATAAAGAATGTTTAGAATGATTTCCCAAATTTATAATGGCTGCCTATAAAAATATAACATGTCATTTACATGCGATTAGCAGAGAAGCTTATTTTTGCAAAGCATGCATTTTAGACATTATAGATTTTGAAAATAGTTAGAATTTTATTAAGGATAAAATCTTTTAAAAAAATTAATATTGTCTTTATCTATAGATATTTTTCGGTGCAAATAAATATTATTCGAAATTTTTCCAGAGCAAATCATTATTAAATTGTGGTATATTTTTCTCAGTGTTAATTTTATATTTAATTGTACTTACATTTAACCATTAATTAAAATTTGTACATGGGAAAATTAATTTTCATAATAAAAATTTTACATTAAAAACGATGAGTTAATTAAATAACTTACAAAGTAACTTGTGATCTAACTAGTTATTTAAAATATAACTGTAAGGTATTTCAATACTTTATAACTGTAACTGGTTATTTTTTAAAAGTATCTTGTAATAATATTACATGAGATCCCATGAAAAATTTCAGAAATATTGATGATTAATCGCGAAACTAGTGATATTATATATAAATTTAATAATTTGAAAGGAAAATAAGTAAAAGTTTATAATTTTTTTAAATAATGACCAAAACTAAAATTTTTTAGAAAAAATCATTTTCATAAAAAAAAGTGATTAACCATAATTAATTTTATAAAAATGTAACATAACCAAGGACCAAGTATTATAGCCCCCCCCCCTCCCCATAAATTTCCTGTGGCAAACTTCTTCTAATAGTGTCCCCTTCACAAGCAAAATCATGGCTACGCCTATGGTTAAACCCTTGATATGTTTGAAAAATCTATTGATAGAAAATAGACACTCATGTTCCAATGGTACTTCTTCCGAATGAAATTCCCTCTTCATAGAACTTAAAATAGAAAGATTTCCTTATGGGTTTTATCATTTAAAAAAAATATACTATATCTTAATAATATTAATTGTTTAGAGTGATATGTTAAAAATCTTTCTAGTTAAAAAATGTTAAACTAATACAATGAAATATGTTTTTCCATATTTTTTTAATAAAAATTTAGAAGTAACGAGTAATGTTTTGCGTTATACCTACCGTTACTCGTTACCTCTAAAAGAAGGTAAGGAATGGCATTCCTTTTCTTCAAAAAAGGTATCGACATTAATAATGGCGTTACTTTACAGCACTATATATAACCAATTATTGCTATTCATGATTCCATATAGCAATGCAAGTAAACCGATTTCTTAATTGTTTTTTTTCTAAATGTAGTTTTTTATACATTCAATTGTTTGTTTTATTTAAAATTTTTGTATATATACGCTATTTATTGCCCATTTTTTTGCAAAATTTATAATTAAAAAATATATAATTAAAAATTCCCCATTTCGTTCCATTTTTTGCCTGGTATAGTGGTCGACTTTAAATTGGTTTAACGGCTTTTCTATATAAGCTAGAAATAAGGGGAAAAATTTAATAAATAGACTAAATCTAGTTTTTAGCTGAAACTACTTTGACCCGTTTTTCTTAAAAATATAGCAGCTCAGATCTGAAAGAAATTATTATAAATTAAAACGCCTTAATGTAGAGCCATTACCCAATTACCTATAGAATAAAAATCTTCTAAAGATCAATTTTAGGAAAACTTAAAATTGCGATTTACAATATAGGTATTTTTTTAATTTCGGGGCCTGTATTTTCCGTAAAAGGGTCAAATACGCCATTGTGCATTCATAATTAATTAAAATTTTTTGAAAGAAAAAAAATTATATTGCACATGTAAAAGGTAGTTTTTAGTGTGATGTATTTTATATCTAGGAAAATTTAAACAAATGTGAAGAACACTTTATCATGTATTAAGGATGAAAAATTATCATATAGAAAAGTTGAATAAAATTAAGCGTCTAAATAATTTAGATTGGTTAAAAACAATAAAAATTAAATGTACACTTAATTAGAAATATTTGTGGCCCGTTTTATTATATTCCTAATTTAGTTTGGTATTATATTACCTTCATTTATTATTACCTTACCGCCATAAAAAGCATATATATTTTAAATAGTCCTTGTCTTCCCCCTGTAATCAAAAATAAGAAAGAAAATTTTATTATAGGGCAAAGTTATTAAATTATATAAAGGCCAACAAATAAAATATGAATATTTAAATATACAATAAAAATTCATTATTGAATACATTATCAAACTAATTATCAAAGTATTTTATAAGATTCTAATAGCTACTTGAATAAATGCAAAAAAAAAAAAACTATACTACAATAATAAAGTAATAATTAAATCAAAGGATTTGAATTGAAACTTGAAGTGAAAGTAATTTATATTAAAATACGATGAATAATTCCCCTATCCCATATGCCTACTCTCCTTCAAACAAATAATAAAATATATTCAAAAAATTATAATAAATAAAGAAATTTTGGGACAAAGTAGTTTTTTATATATTATATTTAGGTAACTTGAAAATTGTTTTATATTATTTAAAAGTTTTATAAAAATCCAATTAATTTTATACCCCAGATGACATTGACATATGACGATCAAAATAAGATTATTAAATATTAAGTTTATTAACAATAATAATATAATGAAAATTTCTTTTATATTAGAAAGAACAATCATTATATATTTTTTTTTACCTGTTGCTGTTGGTAATGTAAACCCGATATCTACCTAACTCAACAGGTGGGCCATTTTCATTTATTTTATTTTAATTTATACAATGTAAATATACTCAAAATTTTTCTGTAAAACAAATATAAAATAGTATATAAAGTTAGCTATCAAATAAGCTAAGCAGACTTATATATAATTCTCTTTATAAAGAGGCCTCAAAACAGATCTAAAAGTTTTTAAAAAAATAAATATATGACAAATTTGAACACCAATGGTCACCCAGATAAAAAAAATTTAGCCATATCATCTTTTTATCATTGAAATATCATTGGATGTTTTTTTTTGCATAAATTTTTTTTTAGACTCTTTTATTTTATACACTTGAAAGAAACTATAAACCATAAAAAAAATTTGAGAAGAATAAATTAAGATGGTATTTGAAATGAATGAAAGTGTCTATGATTAAAAAGAAAAATTAAGGAATGTTTTAAAATCTTTTTTTTCGACATTATAAAGCGGCTACCTTTGAATTTTTTTTATTTTCTTCTCTTCGTTTTATAATTTTTTTTCTTTCTCTTTTTGATACTCCTTAAAAATCAAAATGTTTTATAATTTAAATGCTTCAAAATTTTGTTTTTTTCGTTAATAACATTTTGAATGATCATCAAATGACTCGAAAATATGACAAAAAAAATCTCGAATATAATATAAATTGTCTCCCAAAATGGGATTGGGTATTTATATAAAAAATATATTTATTTTTTAAGGAAAGTTTAATTTTTTTAAAATCAAATACCTGAGGGATAAAATTTTGGAGTTCAGACTGAATTAAAAAAAATGTCTATCTTCGAGTCTGACCCAGATTTTTTAATATATTTTTAGGTCTAACGTATTTTTCAAAACTTATTTTATTATATTGGTCCATAAGATCCTTTTTTTAAAGTTAACTAAAATTACCCAAAAAAATAAATAGCATTTAAATTTGTTTTCACTTTTGCCTGAAAATTTTTTTTTTCGAAATTTATTACCGCATATTAATTAGTATTAGAAGAGGAGAGGGGAAAATTGGGCTATTTTTTTAAAAAAAAAGATTCAAAGATCGCAACTTAAGTTTATTAACATATAATATTATATATATATTCAAATGATAATTTCTAAAATTTAACACCTGTCTATGTTTTAGTTACCTTTATTTTATTTTTATTTATGTCATTAGAAATTTCTCCAAAATGTATTTACCTTTCTATTTTCTAAAAATATCTTAATCAAATTTGTGTTGTTCGCAAAAGGGCATATATGAATATTTTTTATTTAATTATATCATTATTTTATAAATTGAGTATATTATGTTAATTATGTTGAATAAATAAATTACAAATTTAATGCCAAAGAATGGGAAAAAATCAATAAATTATTACACCAAATCGAAGATAATATGATAATTATCACCTATTATTATATAATTTAGAAAATAAAAATTTTGTCAGAAAAATAATCTATTTTTCCATTTATAAAAATCACGTAGATTAATTATTATGTATAAATGGAAATTTGGTATTCTCTTTGTTATAAATTTTTTTCTTAAAAATATATAAATATGATGAATAGCAATATAAAAGTAACAATATAAATTAGATTCTCGTCACATAATTCATAAAAATTTATATTATTTTAAAAAAATATATATAAGAGTTTTTTGGATGTGATGATTGATAAGTTAGACCTCTGCACTGTGGTATATTTTACAAATTTAATTCCAAAAGTATATACTTTTTCAGAAAAATAATTTAAAAAAAAATATTCCTTAATATGTTAACGATATTTAGGATTGAAGGATCGAATTTATAAACCGGTTAAGATTATTTTTCATCGAGTTATTTTCGTTAAAAAAATATGTTTCCCACATTAAGAATAAAATCTCCTTCTATCTTTTAGAGTTGTAAAAAAAAGTTGTACTGAATTCTTTTAGACTATACTAGCGTAATTCTCTATTCCGTTAACTTCGCATTTGTTCGAAGAAAATTGATTTTGTTGTTCTTTTAACGCGTTGATACGATCGTGAGTTTGGAATTCATGTTCGGGCTCGGTACAGTAAGCGTAATACCCAGGTAGGTTAATGATACAAGGGGGCGAATTATCGTTAGAAGAAGCTATATATTGTGGGGACGATGTGGTCGTAGGTGAGGATTTAGAATTCGTATTGTCGAGATTAAGCTTATTTGATATGACAAGATTGTTAATTTCTTCACGATTGATCAGACTTTCGGTCAAATGGGAGTTCGACTGAGGTCTCTGGTTATTGTGGTCTAAGTGAGTCTTTGGCATGGTGCTGAAGATTTTTAAAAAAGAAAAACATTTAGGAAACAATTAAAATAGTGTTTTTTCAATTTAAAAACAAATATGTGATCACTTTTATTCGTTTATATCATCGCACGTTAAAACATATAAATTCCTTATTTTTTTACTTTATTCGTTTTTGGGGTTCGTTGTAAATGGCTTCGTAATCAATATTGTTGTTGGACATCTTGTTATTTTTGGCGGCATTTAGCATGTTTTTATTGACACCGCTATGAAGGGCTGAATATGTCTGGGGGGTATTCTGCTTGAACGTTGAAGATTTGCTGTAATAACCGTCATCAAGAATATTTTCACGTAATTTTTGCTGGAATATGATCTCGCTATTCGTGCTGGAATTCAAAGAATCATGGCCTACATTGTTTTTGTCATAACGATAACTATCATATGTCGCTTCGTAGGAACCATCCGTTTCGTCAAATTTTCCGAGTTTATCTATCTGAACATCCCGATTGTCGTTGTTATTGTTCAGAGCTTTACTATATTCCGAACATCCTTTGTTAAGAGGTTTGTAGTAATCTTCCCTGTGATACAACTCTTCGCCACATTCACTCTCATCAATGGTCGGCGGTATTTGGAGAGTATTTCTGGCCAATCCAGCTGAAACTTGGTGGTTTTTATTTCCAGAATTTTTGTTCTTCACATAAGATCCATAAAAATTATTATTTTGAGGGTCAACGCCATCAGAGGTTTGATTCGTATCGTTTAGTAATTTTTTCTTGTAAACAACCAGGATTCCTATGATGGCCAGGGTGACGGTCACGAAGGAAATGCTGAGACACGCGATCATGATCATTTCAGTTTTAGAAAGGAAAGAAGGCATGTTACCAGTCTCCTTTGTGGCAGATACTGCTGGCGGTTGACCTAGGAGTGCAGAATTAATTGGCGACTCTTCTTTTTCTTCCTTCTTGATAAATTCTTCTTTATTAGTCATGGTGGCGGTTTGATCGAATTTATCCAAGTCCCCGTTCAACATCTTATCTGCCTCGAGATCTTGTCTCACAGCCAATGCTTCATTTTCCTCGATGAGAACTGTAACGGAACAATCTTTTCCTTCAAACCCTGGTGGACAATTGCAAGAGTAATCGTTGATCAAGTCAGTACACGTTCCCCCATTAGAACAAGGTCGGGCTCTACAGTCCGGGATGTCTATTTGGCACAAGCTTCCAGTGAACCCCGGAACGCATCGGCACACAAAAGACGAAGAAGGAGAAGCACCTCCTTTACGTTCGTAACATGTGGCACCGTTCAAACAAGGGTTTATGTCGCAATGACTTTGAAATAATTTTGAAGAGTCTGGAGACGACAACAGGTTTTTAGAGTTTGGAGAGGAAATTGGTAAAGATTTGGATTGTTGGTTGATTAACCATATAACTTCCTTTTCGGAGCAGTCCAAGCCAGTGAAGCCCTTTTGGCATAGACACTTTTGAGAATGTTGTTGAGTTGTTGTGGTTTGGCTGTGTAATGTTATCTCTGTTATAATGCATCTACCATCTATGAGTTTTATTTTTTATTTTATAAATTTAAAGCTATATAATGTGTCATTATTTGAACTATTTTTTTATATTAAGCACTCTCATAAATGATTTAGCAAAATATAGTAATGAATGTTTACCATTTTTGCAAGTGTTGATTTGGCATTTGGTTTGCTTAGTTTGGCATTGTAGACCCGTGAAGTTTGTTGAGCAGGTACATTTATATCCTCCGTCTGTTAAATCTGAACATTGGCCCTGATTTTGACAAGGGTTATCGGAACACGTGAATGTGTTAGTATGGCATCTTTTGCCAACATAGCCGGGCAAACATTGGCAAGAATAGTTGAATTTTTCTCCCGATAACTTTGAAAAAGAAATTAAAGAATTATAATTTCAATTATTTCTTTATAAATATTTTTCCTTAACCATAAAATATTTTTACAAAAAATTAGATTATATCATATCTTCAGCCTAACAATATCTAGTTCCTTTTACTTTGCAAGAGGCATCGTTTAGGCACAAATTTGAATCGCATTTGGATATATCAATTTCGCAATTGATTCCAGTGAATCCTTCTGGACATATACAGGTAAAACTACCTTGGCCACTGTTAGTGCATTGCCCCCCATTTTTGCAAGGTTTATGATTGATGCAATAGTTGAGATCTAAATTTAATTTTTTTTTTTATTTAAAATATAATAAGTAATTTTTAGGAAAGATATTAAGAAATATACAATTCTCGATGAGAAATGATTGATGATAATTTTAATTGAAAAGATTTATATAAATAAATAATATAGGTTTACCTTGATTGCAAAACAGTCCTCCCCAACCACTTTGGCAATTGCACTGCCAAGGTTGGTGACAGGTGCCATGTGAACAACCAGGATATCTTATGCAATCTTCACAGTATTTTCCTTTGTAACCCAATCTACACCTATTTATTTATTATTTAAAAATATTTGTTTTAGTTAAATTTTTTCTCAAATTGGCTAAATATATTTATTAAAATTCCATATGGTTCGAGGGCTTGCTTACAATACCAATACAATACTATTGTATTGGTTTAAACAATATTTTCATTATATTGAATGGTTAATATTGGTATTCCTACAACTTAGACAAAAAAAAATCCATATTTTCTTTATTTTATTATTAAAACTCTTGATTGCACTCAAAATAAATTTCATCAATTTCAAAATGAGGGTAAAAGCTGAATGATTTTTTCACGGACTAAATATAATTAAAGTTTTAATTTTTCTACATTTTTGAATTCAATTACAATGTCCTAAATAAATAAACAATACGAAATGTATTTCCAATAAACAAAAAAATATTGCTATTTTAGATAACCAAACATTGGTATTGTTGCCAGCCCCCCACCTAGTTTAAACTTTAGAAAAATTTATATTTATATAATTTGTAAAATAATAATTGGAAAAATAAAATATTATGAAAATTGCAATTTAAATTTTATTTACCTGCATTCCCCAGGGTTTTCGCAATAACCATGTTCAGAGTGACAACCTCTAGCACAAACAGCTAAACATTTTTTTAAACAATAAGTAAGTTTTATTTAAAATGTTAACTTATTATTTATATCTAATACATTAGGAATCTCGCTTTCTCTCTTTTAGATTAAACCCACCCTGCATTGATAGTTATAGTGGTGGGGGAAATAACTGTGAATACAGGGTCATACTTGCCTTAAAAAAAAACTCCGCCAAAACTTAGTGCGCATCCTCAGAAGAAAAATTAAAATTTTATAAAGTTTTTTTTTCGGGTGATATTGACAGCTGTTTTACAATTAAAAGAAAATTATCTTTTTTTTAAAAAAAAAATAAAGAATAATAACGAAAAAAAAATTGTTTATTATTAGCGACACCTTTCATTTCTTTCTTTTTTTACCTTTACACAAAAGTTATTTTGGTGTTTGTATTGTGGGACATCTGCCCTACACTCCCCCCTTTCATCTATCTTTTTTTTTAAAAAAATCCAAATGTTTGTTTTTTAAAAAGAAAGAAACTAAAAATTTGCAAGGTGGTTGACTATTTTTCCATAAATTTATATTTAAAAAAAAAATTATGAACAGTGGTTAGTTTTTGCTTTAAATTTAATTTTTTTAAAAAAATTTAAACAAAGTAATTTCAAGGCGCACGTTATCATTAATAAAATACTAAATGTATCCACTAGAAAAAAATTTAAAAATATTAAGAGTTTTATTTTAGAAATATTAAAAGTATAACATTTAATTATAAAAAAATAAAGAGCGTAAGATTCGAGGCACACGTTATCATTAAATAATACCAAATGTCCCCCTTTTTAAAAGAAAGAATAAAAAATTTTTTTTAGAGTTTTAATTTCGAAATGTTAAAATTACAAAATATAAATTTCATTTAATTATTAAAAATAAAAGGCCTAAATTCCTTAAATAGTTTTTAATTATTTCTTTTTTTTAAAAAAAATAAAATGAATATAAATCATGATTAATAAACCCCAGTCCAAAATACCCCATTTCTTATTTTTTTTTCTTATTCGCGCTTACCATGTATAAAAATTTTATAAATAAATAAATTTTAACCTTGGGTACAATATGGCCCGTTCCAACCTTGCTTACAAATTTTCTGACCATTTCTGCCGCATAGGTAATGCCCGAATTTATCGTCCCTAGGCCGACATAAATTAGCACAATTTTTTCCGAAATAATGTCTGTCGCAAACTACCCTGTAAGAATATTTTAGTTTTGAGTGGGTAGATAGATAGGCATCCGATGTCCACCTAGAATCAGCTGAAACCGATTTTTGAGTAGCTAGTTTGATTAAGAGTCTTTCCTGCTCGTTGGAGTTAAGGTGATTGATATTGTTTTGGAGAGAATTATTGTGCCACGCCTCTATTATGAGCGAAAATGTTCCCTACAAATATGATTCCAAAAAAATGAGAATATTACCGAACAATGAAGGAAAATATTTTTTTGTAAATAATATACTTTACTGACGCCACTAACAACATACAATAGTAGTTATCAAATATTCCCTAGAATTTTAATGTTCTTAATATAATAAATAAATTATTTTTTAATTATAAACTATAAATAAATTTTCATTAGACAAAATTACCATATCACATTTTTTTTTTAAAAAACAAGAACAATTATTTGGTATATATAATTACCGGCCAAGAAAAGGAGAAAGGCAGTGCGTAAATGTGATCGTGGCCGTGAAAACTATTTCCACCCAAAATAGGCGTCATAAAACTGCCGAAGGTGCAAGATCCGGGAGATTTACTCTTGACACTGCCAAAATCGTCTTGAGAAGCTTTATCGTTCATCAGTTCTCCGCCAGCATCTGTCAACATGGAATGGGAATTTCCGGTAGACTTAATATTGGCTTGGTAATGCCTGAGGCACACGGTAAAGTAAGTATTGCATTGGCCTCCACCACATTTAGAACCGCCGATCAAACTGTCGCCCTTGTTGTCATTTTGATCAGGAGAATTAGTGCAACAAGTTCCGGTCTTGTCTACCCCTTTATAGTTTTCGAAGGAATTCAACCTTATCTCAAAAACGCCAGAGCTAAAGCACTTTAAAATAAATTTAGAAAAATTTAATTTAAAAAAAAAAGGAAGAGAAAGTTACATGTGTTATGAAAGCATTAGATATCATGAAAGAAAAATAATAATATAGATTTTAGAAATATTACTTGATCTATGAAAAGGTTGAATAGCAGGAATATCAGAAAATAGGGAACGCCAGTTCTAGGGAATATTTTGTCAGGAATCATCATCGTTCCAGAGAATAACTTTACTTCAGAAAATTAAAATAAATTTTATAATAAATTTTAAATTTTTTGTTTTTTTGGAATAAATTTTATGGAATGTTTTGCCACGCGTATTTTCCAATTTATATATAATATAATTTTTTATATTTATAAAAGAAATAATTTCTATACTTTACATTAATTATTTAAATTTTTTTTACCTTAAAAAATAATATATATAATATTAATAAAATATAAATGCAGCAACATGTGGCATTTTATAATATTTTTGTAAAATATGGGCATATGTGTTGTACATTGTACAGTTATTATATTATTATTTTATAATAGAAAGGTATATATTTTTTTTAGTATATAGATATAATAAAGGTATAACAATAATAATAATATAAATTTTATTAATAAAGGTGCAATACGAATGAATTTAAGCAGGGCGTCTCAGCCCAATCAATATATATTTTAGAATTCTTTCTACCCTTACAACATCCTAAAATTTGGGAAAATAGTTTGAAACTTTTTAAAATATATGCTGAAATCTATAATAAGAACATCAAACGTTTTAATTTAATTTTTCTTAAAATAAATTTAGAAACTTAATTTAACAAACACAAAAACGTGCTTTATAAAATAATCATCTCTGTGGTAAGCATTTTGTTAGGGATTTTTATATAATTTAAAAAGTTTTTTTTTTATTATTAAAATAAGAACAAATGTCCGTTATTACTATATATCCCTTCTTCCATATATTATTAATTCTTGTATAATATATTTTTTTAAAAGTTAAGTTTTCTAATAAGGACTTTACCCGACAGAAGGTTAATATAATATTTAATAATGTTCTATTGTCTGATAAAAAAAAAATTGTTTAAAAAAAAGTAAAGAAAAGAAAATAAGGAAAGGTGGAAGGAAGGAACATAGGTATAGGTGGACATTTGTCTTTTTATTTAAACAATTATTTTTATTATAATGAAAATATACATATCTATTTCATTGTAAAATTTTTAATTTTCTTTAAAAAAGTTTAAAATATTTAGTTTATTTTTTGCAAAATAAAAAATATGAAGGCACGTGCAATAAGAAAATAATTATATATAATATTATGATGAAAAGTTAAAGTTTTTTTTAATTTAGAATATTGTTACCGGTGGTCAAAGTTTTTTTTAAAAAAAATTATATATATACAAGATATACCTTACACCAAAAAATATAAAGGCATTATATAAGCAACAATTTGTTTAACATTATTTGACTTACTTTAATGGGGTTCCTGAGTAGCTCACTTATAATTTATATTTATCATTGATTATTAAATAATTTTTTTTAAAGAAGTTATGATTTTTGTTTATATGAATATAAAGAGTAAGGGCATTGTGAAAGAAAATTCCTATTATTTCCAGGAAATTTTTTTTTGTATTAAATAATTGAGGGTGCAGATGTAAAGTTAAGATATACGTTGTTATTACTTCTTTACTACCTCATGACGACTATTAAAATTATAATTAAATTGAGATAATTATACTTCGTCATTAGAGATCTGCAAAGTTAGGCCAGGACCGTACCCGGCCCGGCCCAAACGGGCTTCGAGCCGGGCTCGGGCCTAACTTTATTTAAAATAATCGGGTTCGGGCCGGGCCTAATATTTTTAAAAAAATTTGGGCCGGGTCGGGTTGGATTTTGTAAATTTTTTTAAATATATCGAAATTTATCAATTTTATATTGAATTTTTTATGTAAAATAAAAATATTTGATTTTATTTATTGAAACTAAACGACATATAACATATGTCTTTTATTTTGAGTAATTATAAAGATTAATTTCTATATTTAAATAAATTTGGGAAGGGCTAGTTCGGTAAATTTTTTTAAAAAAATTTCGGGTTCAGGCCGGGCCGGCAAAACTTTTTAAAAAAATTTCGGGCCGGGCCGGGCTTGAAAAATTAGGCCCGATGCAGATCACTATTCGTCATAACTTAGTTTTGAATACAAAATTTTAAAAAAATGTTGTTAGGAGGGGTCTTTTAACTCACCAATTATTTTGGCGATTTACTCAACATACCTCTAGTACAATGAGAGAATTTAGTTTATTTAACAGGAATATTAAAAATGTATGATAGACCAGGACAAATTTAGGAAAACAGATAAAACAAGCTTTTGTATATTTATTTTTTTAGACTGCTGCAATTTTTAGTTTATATTTCTATATACTCAAAAGTTTGAAATGCAATAATAATTATAAAAAACTTTGCAAAAAAAATAATATAAGAATAAATACCTATCTATCTATTACATAGATATAATTAATATTATAAATATATTTTAAAATAATTAAAGTTTTTACTGCCAAAGTATATATTTTTTTTTATTGATAAATTACAACCAAGTTGTCGGTCGGTGTTATGTCTCTTTAATCATCTTTATTTAATTCTTTGTATTTTGTCCTTCTTTTTTTTTATTTTAAAAAAAAAATATAATTTTATTTAAATTTACATTTTTTCATCCACCTTCTTAATCGAGATAATAAATTATATTTATAATTTATTTACTACTTTTTATTAAAGTATAATCGAAGATATATTGCTAGGTAGGTAATTTATTAATAGTGGGAAGATTCAAACATTTTGCATAAAGGTAGACAGAAGTATATTGATTTCAGAAAGGTCCGCCCTTGACTGGGCCATTAATTTTTCTATAAAGGTTTTTAACGCGACCCTTGACTCTTTTAGCCAGGAATGACCAGCTAGCTGAGATTCATAACAGGCTGCGCAGATCTCTATCCCTAGGCTCCCTCTAAGTCTTTTCTAATTTACACATATTTAGAAATTTTGAACTAATAATATAACTATTTTTCAACCTCGTGAAATTTTCTAGCTTGAGCTTATCGTTATGTTCATATTAGACTAAATTTATAAATATTTCAGTATATTTTATTGGTTAATTTATTATAGAGAAGATTACAAGAACTAATTTTATCTTTCCAATTTAGTTTTAAAAAGGAGATTGAATCAATAAAAAATTTTGTTTTATGTTTTATAAAAAAGTTTAAAAAAAAAAATTAAAGTAGCAATTTTATTATAAAAGTGTTTATTTTAAAGAAAACATTCTTTTTATCCAATTTACACAAGTGTATCGCATTTCAATATTGAAATATCCTAAATATTAATATAATTGTGTGTATATATTATATACTTGAAATTTGGACTTAATTTTTGATTTTGTATATTTTAAATAAAAAAAAACAATGGGGTTTTGTTTTAAATTAAGTTTTACCTGTTTAAGTATATAAATAGTGAGTTTTGATAATATGATATCACTCGAATACTTTCAAGTTTGTTGTTTTATATATATAAACGTTATAAAATAATTTATTTTAAAAAATTTTAACGTAAAGTATCAATTTCTTTTGATTACAAAGTTGTTAAATATTTTGTGTTTTTTTTATAAAAATTATAAATAGTAATTTAATACAGGGTTGTAATGTATGCAGGTAGAATTTAAATCATATTAGACATAGTGGTCACATTTAAAAAAAAACATCTTAATTTATGGGTTTTTTTCTAAATGGTTTCATTTACTTATAAATATAATTAGTCTTTTACGAACTTGCCTCTTTCTTTATTGTTGAGGCGCCTTCTCTATTAAAAAAATGCTTATAATTAAACGGATAAATGTAGCTTAGTATCCTATTTATGTCTAAAAGTTTCTTACGGTAAATCATAAAAAAATTTGAAAATTTAAAGCAATTTACTCATCTTGTCACATCAATCGTTATTGAATTCAAGATTATAACAACGATTTTAGGACTTTTTCCATAGGATATATATATACTTTCAAACCTGACTTTAGTTTTTAAATTTTAAATATGATCCTGTTGTCCTTAAACTACTTTAGAGTAAAGTATAAAATAATAGATTATAAATGCTTTAGTATATATGGGCTTGCAGGTTGTCAAATAATTGTTATAAAGGTTTAAAGTTATTTGATTTTCAAGAAGTCAAAAGAATTTATGGGATAAACTGAACAAATATTTAAGTAACTTAGAAAAACTGGTCAATTTTTTTTTTGGAGATGGTTAGAAAGTTGGTAAATTTTGGGAGCATTCTTTTTTTTTAAATATTCATATCTAATAAAAATTTTTTATCTTTTTGCATTTAAGAAGTTCGACCAAATATTTTTTCTTCTATTTTTTTTACTCTTTTTAAAAGTTCATATTTATTTTTGGAGAATGTATTCAATGAAAGTTATCTTTAAAAAATACTATCCGGTAGAATTCGGCTTAGATCTTATTTATAAATATAATTTTTTTTATTGGTAATTTTTTTCTTCTTTCTTCCCAATTTTTATAATAATGATAAAAGAAAGCCTCAATTAATTTAATATATTACCCCAAAAATAAAAACCCAAATAGATATACAAAAGAAAAAGTACTTTATAAATGGGATAAACCTCCTTTTGCATAAAATTGTGTATAATGATAAATATATTCTAACTCTACACCTGCTGAATTCGATTGAAAAATTTATAAATTTCTCTACCAAATTTTTTTCCCCAAAAAAATTGAGGCAATTAGGAAAATTTTGAATGGAACTTTATATAAAGGGCAGTAATAGAAAAGTCATAAAAAATAAGAGGAAAATATATATGGGAATGTTCAAATTTTATATATATATAATATACTATCTCAGACTATTCTACTTCCCCCCCCCCTCCCCAATTATTACCTAATTAACTATTTTTTCCAACTCAGAACTTTTAAATATTATATTGGGCAAAATAAATAAGCCTTCTATGGTGAATACCGTCGAAGTTATGTTTTTTCCAATAAACTTTATTCAATTTAAAACTTTGAAATATTCACCTAAAACTTATAATTATAAATACATGTCGTATTGGGATATGGAATCTTTCAATTTTGAATTATTTACCCCGATGGTAGATTTTTATATTTTGAAAAAATCCGATTTCACTGGAAATGTATTCCAGCATGCGCGGAGTACATATCTTATAAATTTTCATAAAAATTTCGCTAT